TAACATCCTTCTACCAATATACCCACTGTCCTTCCTCTGGACATGTCCAAACCATCCCAGTCTGGTCTCTCTAACTTTATCTCCCAGTTGTTCAACCTGTGCTGTACCTCTGATAATCTCATTCCTAATCTTATCCATCCTTGTCACTTCTAAGGAGAACCTCAACATCTTCTTTTCTGCCACTTCCAGTTCTTTCTCCTGTCTTTTTGTCAACACCACTGTTTCTAGACCGTACAATATAGCTGGTCTCACAACTGTCTTGTAAACTTTTCCTTTGACCTTTGTTGCCACCCTTTTGTCGTAAATCACTCCTGAAACTTTTCTCCAGCCACTCCATCCTGCCTGGACACTCTTTTTCACCTCTTTACCACATTCCTCATTTTTCTGGACAGTGGACCCCAAATACTTGAAGTCCTGCACCTTTGTGACCTCTGCTCCTTGTAGCCTCAATGTTCCACCAGCCTCCCTCTCATTCACACATATGTACTCTGTCTTACTACGACTGACTTTCATTCCTCTTCTTTCAAGTGCATACCTCCACCTCTCTAAGTTATCTTCCACCTGTTCCCTGTTCTCACCTCAGATCACAAAGTCATCTACAAACATCATCGTCCATGGGGATTCCTGCCTGACCTCATCTGTTAGTCGGTCCATCACCGGTCCATCATCGGTCCACCAGAGCAAACAAGAAGGGGCTCAGAGCTGATCCTTGATGCACTCCCACCTCCACCTTGAAGCTATCTGTCACTCCTACAGCACATCTCACCACTGTCATGCTGTCCTCATACATGTCCTGTACCAGTCTAACATACTTCTCTGCCACTCCAGATTTCCTCATGCTATACCACATCTCCTCTCTTGGCACTCTGTCATATGCTTTTTCTAAATCCACAAAGACACAATGGAGTTCTTTCTTACCCTCTCTGTACTTCTCCATCAGCATTCTCAAAGCAAAGATGGCATCTGTGGTGCTCTTTCTTGGCATGAAACCATACTGTTGCTCACAGATAGTCACCTCTCGTCTAAGTCTTGCTTCCACAATGCTCTCCAAATCTTCATTATGTGGCTCATCAACTTAATTCCCCTGTAGTTGCTACATCTCTGTACATTACCTTTGTTCTTAAAAATGAGCACCAGAACACTTCTTCTCCATTCCTCAGGCATTTTCTCACCCTCAAATATGCCATTGAACATTTGAGTCAAAAACCTCACTGCCATCTCTCCAAGACATTTCCAAACCTCCACTGGTATGTCATCAGGTCCTACTGCCTTCTTCATTCTTTACAGAGCTTTCCGGACTTCATCCTCACTAATCTTTCCCACTTTCTGGTCCACAGTTTCTATGACCTCTACTCTTCTTTCTCTTCATTCTCTTCATTCATTAGCTCCTCAAAGTACTCCTTACATCTTCCCGTCACACTCTCCTCACTTGTTAGAACATTACCATTCCTATCTTTAACAAGCCTAACCTGCTGCACATCCTTTCAAGCCTGATCCCCCTGTCTTGCCAATCGGTACAAGTCCTTCTCACCCTCTTTAGTGTCCAGCCTCCCATACAACTCATCACACACTTTCTACTTTGCCTTTGTTACCTTCCTCTTTGCTCTACATTCCATCTCCTTATATTCCTGTATCCTCTCTTTGAATAGCTTCCACCACTTCACTGTTCCACCACCAGGTTTCCTTATCATCCATTCTCTGCCCAGATGACACATCAAGTACCTTCCTACCTGTCTCTCTAATTACTGTTGCTGTAGTAGCCCAGTCATTTGAAAGCTCTTTCTTACTACCCAGAGCCTTTAACATCTCCTCTATAAAATCCTCACAACATTCTTCCTTCTTCAGCTTCCACCATTTGGTCTTCTTCTCTGATTTTACTCTTTTTCTTTTCTTCACAACAACAGTCATTCTACACACAACCTTCCAATGCTGTCTGGCCACGCTCTCCCCTGCCACAACCTTACAGTCCCCAATCTCCCTCAGGTTTCCTCTTCTACACAGAATGTAGTCGACCTGCGTACTCCTTCCTCCACTCTTATAGGTCACTCTATGTTCCTCCCTCTTTTGAAAATGTGTTGACTACAGCTATTTCTTTTGGCAAAATCCCCATAGCTGTCTTTACTGGTTTCTTTCCTTGACACCAAACCTACCCATCACTTCCTCATCCCCTCTGTTTCCTTCACCAGCATGTTTCAGATGTGCTCCAATCACCACTCTCTCCTCCCTGGGAATATGCTCTATTTCTTCATCCAGATCCTTCCAAAATGTATCTTTCTCCTCCACATCACATCCAACCTGTGGAGCATAACCACTGACAACATTTAGCATCATCATTCTACTTCTACCTTCAGACACATCTGATACTCTTTTCACCTCTACTACATTCTTTGCCAACTCCTCCTTCAGGACCACCCCTACTCAATTTCTCTTTCTATCCACACCATGGTAAGATAATTTAAACCCTGCTCTAGTGCTGCGAGCCTTGCTGCCCTTCCACTTGGTCTCTTGGACACATAAAACATCTACATTCCTTCTCTGCATCATGTCAGCCAGCTTTGCCTGTCATTCTCCCTACATTTAGAGTTGCAACCCACAGTCCTGCATTCTTGACTTTTCTCTTCTCCCTCTGTCTCCTGACCCAGTTCTCTCCTTGTGCTCTTCAACGCCATTTATTGCTACCCGATGTGAAGTTAATGTACAGTAATTCTGAAGTGGAGTTAAACTGCTCTAAAAATAATAAGTTATACTCATCACTATCAGTAGATTGTTTTGTAAACAAGTCACCAAGCACAGTTTATCACACTGTAGTTTATCTTTGATTTCAAAAGTCTATACCTGTCTCTTCTGTACCCGCCCCTTCATTTTACCTTCTCGGTCCAAGACGAGGCTTCCTGTCAGGGTTCATAAATCCTGTATAGATGTGTGTATCTTCCCTGATTCACCGTCGCTGAAACACAAAACCACCTAATCTTAAGCTGCAGATGAAGCTAATTAGAGAACAGAGACATCCATCACCATGCTGGGCCCTGTGACTCTCCGCACATACCAAGAGTGGCACCTCAGTCACTAAAAGGAAGCTATTATTGTGAGTTATGTCGAGAGGAAGGTCTTAAACCTGAAGCCTGTGAAGGCTGTACTGAATGTTTCCTCTCTGTTCTTCAGGTTAACCAGCTGTCCAAGAAAATTGCAAAAGATGAGCTCTAGTGCAGAGATCACAGAAATGACTTTGATTTGCTATGATGACCTTTGACCTTACAGGTCATGTGGATGAACAGAAACCTGGAGCGGGGTTCTGTTCATATGTGCAAAATTCATTTATTCTCTTGTCACAGACACAAACATACCCTTTCTGATTATTGCAACTTAGATTGAGGGGTTTCTCGTGTAGTGCTTTATTCATCCTGTAGATGGAGGTGCAACACTTTCAGCCCTTCGAATTGTTGCAATCCACAATTCATATTTTACAGTGTGTACTGAATGTACCACTGCTGCATGTCAATCTCTAGATCTTTGTGTGTAAATCGACAGGGGTCTGAAGATAAATGATTATCACGTTGAGTTCTCCTGCAGGGCGTGAACAGCTACGCCAAAAGCCAGATTATTTAGAGTTTAATGCACCACTTTCGGCAAAGAATTACAGTATGCAGTTTAATAATCTAATTTGGTGTGTTAAATTAATATATTATGGTGGCAAATCACAGATAAAACAGATAAACACTATCAGAAACACACACCTTGACAAAGTCCATCATTCTTCTTTAAAAACTCTACAAAAAAATACTTTATTGCAAAATGAAACCAGAGTAGAAATATAATACATCCATTAATATGTTTCATTACATGAGTTTAAAACATCACATCACACAAACAGTAACATTAAATTATTCTGGAAAAAAACAACAACATCTAAATAACACAAAACAGAAACAGCAGTGCAGGTTATAATGAAGGTTGATGCTTTTCTGTGGTAAGAAAACGATTCTACAAATCTGAGAAAAAGTAAAGAAAAAATCTGATATGTCAACTTATCTTTCATCTAAAACTAGTGTTTATCAAATATGTCAAATTTTTGGCACCATCTGCAACAAATGTAAACATTACAAACCTATAACCAAATTATTTATTACCTGCCATCATGAACGGCAGAGTAATTATCTGCATGTGGAAGTTTGTTAGCAAAATATCTCATGAACTGCTGGATTGATTATAATATCCTTATCCACGCATGGAAGTTTATGATTAATTAACTTTTGGTGTAAATTCAACATGGCCGCCACAGTTAATACAGTTTATTAGAAAGATAAATGGTGATATTTCAGTTAATTTAATAGAAATTGTGATAAAACCTGGTGCGGTCGTAGCTGAGAGTCATCCCTGATGTATACCCCAAATACAAACAGATTGAATTACATCTTTGTTTAAATTTTGGCTATTAATGCTAAAGTCAGTCCTGTTTATCTGTTAGCAAAATATCTCATGAACCACAGGATGGATTTTAATGAAATCCGCCGAAAATAATCTTTCTGTGTTAATTTACAACTGAATAATTTGTGGAGTCAATGCAGTTGATGATGGCTGCCACAGCTAATCAACTTTAGTAAACACAAATTGTCCATAACTCAGTTAATTTCTCAGAAACTGGGCTAAATGTCAGTGTGGTAGTAGCTGAGCGTTATCTACCTCACACACTTTGAAAACTAACAGGTCATGCAAGATCTTTGTTTAAAGAAATTGGCGTGCAAGGTGGCGGGCGATATGCATTCCTTCGATGAATGCTGGATAAATTATATAATGTGCTTCAACAACTTGTTACAAAACAAAACTTTTATTTAGTCAAAGGGACAAATGGTGATATAGATCGGCCTGCTTACTCTGAATATTGAACTTTTTAATCTTTACAGAAAAACACAATATTTAAATTTCTTACTGAAAGCAGAATCGTGTTTAAACATAGAGTGTTGTTGTTAAAAGGAGTTTTAAAAAGTTACGTTTAACAGCTGTTACAGTGAGTTTGCTGTGATGAAGACGTAGATCTTGGCTTGGAAAGTGGTAAACTTCCCCTGCCTCCATAACTTCATTTCCACAGTGACCAGAAAATCCCGTGGACCTTGAACCTGTCGCTGCAGGTACACCGCGCCCGTGTAGGCGTTCAGTTTCCGGGTGCCGAAGTAGGCTTCCTCGTTGCCCTGAATGATGGTCACAATAACGTTGTCTCCGGAGTAGGCGGGAGACGGTCCGATGCGGAATATCTGAGCGGGGATGACGATGTTGGACTGGAAGCTGAGGTAGTAGTAGGTGATCCTCACCGGAGAGTTCTGACAGTCCAGGTGGTTCGGACAGCTGACACGCTCACAACGCCTACAAGCAAAAACGGCAAAAGCTGACATTTACTGTACTTGTAAAATATTTGAACAAGTGAACAAGCCTAAATGGTGCAGAAAGAATTGTTTTTTTGTTTGTTTTTTAAATGGTGAACTAAAATCCTCTAAAACGGTCTGGATCCATCGCTCTCCAGACTTTCTGAAGGCCTTTAAAACATTCTTTTTGGAATTTGGTAGATTTTCCACTTATTTTGTGTCCAGTCCTGAACATGACAGAATATGTATGTTTAAGAAAAAAAATAGGAACATGAACAAGTGAAGGAGAAAAATTAGTGTCATGATTATAAAGATACCATGTACAGCAGATGAAAAATACCCAAAAGTCCCATCATTATGAGACAGGGAGTAAATTCAACAAGGATCTGAAACTAAACCTGACCGCTGCATGCACGCCACATTTTCAGATACTAAGTCAAGCCATGTAATCTTTGACATTTTTCATAGATGCAACAAAAATAGGGAAAAAATATTTCTTTATAAAAAGCTGCAGATAACAAAATACCTAAAGATGTAATTTAAAATGTATTTTTGGGTCAATTGTCTGTTGTGTGTCAACTCAACACTGATTCATTTCAAGAGCTTAGGAGCCTTCGTATGCCTGCATGACAGATGGGTGAAATTTAAGTGGCTTAACAAGCAAACAAAAAACATTTATTTGAAAATGGTCAGGAACAAGCAGTTTTATCGACCTGGGTGATTGAGCTTAGGCCTTTTTCCGAACCATTTTGTCCTTGGTTGTCCTCAGTCTGTTTCTGTGAGTAGCAAGTTGGACTTCTGGTCTAAAACATTTGATTGTTGTATATAATGATTGATTGTTTTGGATGGATGGTCCCTTTTTGTTCAAACCAGTTTCTGGGAATTCAAGGGGAGGCTGGCTTGAAACACATCACTGAGGGCTATTTATGGGACAGATCTGGTTGGCAGACCTCAGACTGATGAAGTCTTTCGGATGAAAGACAAAACGCTTCTCCCTAAAAGAAACTGGTCCAGATGGCATGATTTAACCTGTATTGTTTTATCTAAGGCAGCACGGTGGCACAACTGGCAGAGCTGCTGCATCTCAGCAAGCAGGTTACCCCGGTTCAAATCTCAGTCTGGGGACTGGTAGAGTTTGCATGTTCTCTCCGTGCATGTGTGGGTTTTCTCTGGGTACTCCAGTTTCCTCCCACAGACCAAAAACATGCACGTTAGGCTGATTGGTAACTCTAAAACGTCTGCTTCACTGAAGGTTTTTAGTGACATCGTTGAAGCATTGGATGCCAAAGATTATTGTGCTGCACTTTTCTTAGACCTGTCTAAAGCTTTTGACACTGTGGATCATAACATCTTGTGTCATAAGCTCTCAGAAAGCTATTTCTCAGATCACACCATTGGTTGGTTCTCTAACTATCTTTCAGATCGGAGGCAACGTGTTCAACATAATGGTACTTCCTCCAGTTATTTAACAGTCAACAATGGTGTACCACAAGGCTCAGTCTTAGGACCCACCCTCTTTACAATCTACATAAGTAAAGTAGGTCAGAGCATACCTGATGCATCCTTACATTTCTATGCTGATGACACAGTTGTTTATTGTCGAGCTAAAACTGTTGCTAAGGTTTTCTAGATTTTGCAATCCGTCTTTGACATCATCCAGCCAGATTTGTTCCATCTCAAACTTGCCCTAAATGCCGATAAAACCAAAGGGATGTTTTTGTTAAACAGGAAGTCAGTCCCAGTAGTTCTTCCTCCGATTTTAATCTGAAATGATGTCCCTATTGAGTTTGTCGATTCCTATAAATATTTGGGTATCTTGGTCAACTCGCATCTCTCTTTTAAGCTTCACGTGGAAAACCTAGTAAAGAAACTGAAAGTGCAGCACGGTGGAGCAACTGGTAGAGCTGCTGCCTCTCAGTGAGCAGGTCCTTGGTTCAAACCCCGGTCCAGGGGCCTTCTGGGTGGAGTTTACATGTTATCTCCGTGCGTGCGTGGGTTTTCTCCGGGTACTCCGGTTTCCTCCCACAGACTAAAAACATGCATGTTAGGCTGATTGGTAACTCTAAATTGTCCCTAGGTGTGAGTGAGAGAGTGAATGGTTGTTTGTCTCGTTTGTCTCTATGTGTCCCTGTGATGGACTTGCGACCCGTCCAGGGTGTACCCCACCCCTCGCACAGTGATTGCTGGACATGGGCACCGGCAACCCCCGTGACCCAAAATGGAAGAAGCGGTAAAGATAATGGATGGATGGAAACTGAAAGTTAAACTGGGTTTCTTTTTCAGAAACAGATCCTGTCTAACTCTGAATGCTAGGAAACACCTGGTAACTGCTACTTTCCTTTCCTCCATTGATTACGGTGAAATTATTTACATGAATGCTCCTACAAGCACCCTACAGATGTTGGACGCTGTCTATCACGGTGCACTAAGATTCATAACTGGCTGTGATTATCGTACCCATCACTGCACCCAGTATTCACTGGTTAACCGGACATCGTTATCTTCACGCACACTCTCTCACTGGTACATTTTCATCTTTAAATCACTTTTTGGTCTGTTGCCTTCATACATCTCCTCCTACATGTATCTGCATGAGTGCAGCGACAGCGTACGCTCTCAGGACGTTATTACATGCAGTGTCCCCTCAGTGCGGACTGAACTAGGCAACAGGGCCTTTTCCTACTCTGCTCCTGTTTCCTGGAACATCTTACAAAAAGATCTGAAGCTCTCGCTCGACCTTGACCTCTCTAGGTGGCTTTAAGAATCTGTTGGACTCCTGGCAGGAACCAATGAAGACATGTTCCTGTTTTTAGTTTTCTACACCGCCTTATAATCTAGTTGTTTTTTTCACTACTTTTTCCTTTTGACTGTCCTTATGGTTGTCATTTTATTTTAATTTGTAAAAAACAAAATAAAAATTGTATGCCTCTTTTATGACTGTCTGTTGTTGTTGTTGTTACTCACTGTTGTCATCATTCTTTGTTGAAGAAATCAAGTCTCTCTCGTAATTAAGTCCCTGAGGCTCAATGGGATTACCCTGTCTAAATCAAGGTTGAAAAAAATTGTCCCTAGGTGTGAGTGAGAGTTGTTAGTCTCATTTGTCTCTATGTGTGATGGACTTGCGACCTGTCCAGGGTGTCCCGTGTCTCTCGCACAGTGACTGCTGGACATGGGCACCAGTGACCACCGCAACCCAAAAAGGAAGAAGCGGGTAAAGAAAGATAATGGATGGAGGGATGTTTTTATCTACTTGGATGATTGAGCTTACAAAACTTTTTTTTAGGTATAATGTCCAAAGAAAACATTTCAAAGGCCTTCAGAAAGTCCACAAACCATTAATCAGGAGTGGGTTTTTTTTATTTTATTTTTTTTATTTTGGCTCCTTGGAAGCAAAATATACATATAAATCAGGGAATGATTTCAGTTCTATATTGTATAAGCTTCGCCCTTTAAGGCTATCGCTAGTGGGTTTATCCCCTTCGTGCGCAGCGCAGTACTGAAAAAAAAACTTGAGTCCATGCCCACCTGCTATGTGGGCCTCATCCCCGTCCGTATAAATTACGGTGAGACCGGGTAATCGGCTCCCAAATAGCTTTTTTCTTCAGCCATTTAGGAACCAGTGAGGCCCAGAGCTTAAAGGGCTGCGCCTATACTCAGAATCTGGGGTTACAGAACATAACCAACGTTCTATTTCTTATAGGCTTCGCCCTTTAAGGCTATCGCTAGTGGGTTAAAGGCGAAGCAGGATGTAGTCTATGCCTCACTGGGTCCATTCAGACACAATATGAAGCACCCGCTTGTACCAAAAACATTTTATAACTCAACCTTCTGGGTGCGTAATTACGCGCTGCGTAATTACGCGCTCCATGCACAGGAGCGCCCTGGAGAAAAAGGTCTCCGATGGGGAAAAAGGAAGGCTGAAACGCAGTCCTGCTGCTGAGAATGGAAACAACAGAGGTTACGAATTGTAACAGTGTAAAGATGAACAGAGCAGGTCAACAGCTCTTCAATATGAACTGATTAGTAACAAAATGAACTGATTGGTAACAGCAGTCATGAACTGATTAGTAACAATAAAAACAGCAGTCATGAACTTGTGACTGATAATAAATGTCTCCCACTGTAATTGCATGCAGTCAGATGTGAGCTTAAAAAGAAGCTCAATGAAACAAGTAAAAATCATTCTGTTAGAACCCTGAGAACAGAATGAGTCATGGAGAAGGCAGAAACATCACGTAGATAAAAACGATTAAATGAAAAAGGCGATGACCAAGTGGCCGCCTTACAAATGTCCTCCACTGTCATCCCTCCATGCAAAGCTGTAGAGGATGAAATCCCTCTGGTGGAATGAGCTCTGAGATTCTCCAGAGGATCCAGCCCTGATGATCTGTAAGCTTCAGAAATAGCCTCACACAGCCAGTATGAGAGGCGCAGAGTGGATAAAGGGCGACCTGTGGAGCTGGCCCTGTAATTCACAAACAGACGCTGAGGGTGGCGCAGTGGGGCTGTGCGTGCTATGTAGCATGCAAGCGCGTGCATGGGACAGAGGAGGTTATATGATGCTTCCTCCTCTGATTTGTGAGGAGGAGGATAAAACCCATTCAAGGTTATCATTCTCGAGTTAAATGAACTTGTGATGTTTTTTGGGGCGAAAGCTGCGTTAGGTCTGCGAGCCGGGGTGGAGCCAAACCTTCCCGTTAGATCATCCGATCTGGGCGAGGGGAGGAGAGGGACGAAAAGTCCCTTTGTGTCAGCCGCCTCCTGGATTATGCCGGGCAGCTCCAAGAGG